CTTCCTTCCTTCCTTCCTTCCTTCCTTCCTTCCTTCCTTCCTTCCTTCCTTCCTTCCTTCACATGCGTCTTATCATTTAGCATATGCCTTGTGCCTGTTCTCTCCTCTATATAAGTCCTCAGTCTGTTTCTATTTTTCACTGGATTTCACTGGTTTTGTTTTCTTTTACATTTTTAATAAATTCTTTAATTTACCATAGTGGTTCTGACCTTTAGTTTGCACTTAGGGTGAAAGCCCGATCAATGACATTACTTGCTCAATGCAAATTTAGAGGATTCATATATCTATAAAGCAAAACCTGCTTTGCAACAAAGCAATAAAACAATACATAACACATATAAAACATACAGATACATTAAAAGTGCTGTAGTGGTGCAGCGCTGCAGGACATTAAAAGCCTTCCAGAGGTGCATAGAAAGGAGTACACAGAAAGAGGACATCTAAGAGACAGTATTATCCTAGTCAGAATTAAATGCTAATTTTAAAAAGTGGGTTTTAAGCTTTTGTTTTTAAAGGCTGATAAATCAGACGTGCTTTTTTTTTTTTTTTTTTTTTAGAAAATGCAGTTTCAGTTGTAAGATAGGATCACAGTTTTTATCTGTTAAATCCGGCTTTTTGGCTCACGCAATACACTAAATGATACACGCTTAGCCTGTTAGTTTGTTTTTCTGTGTGTTATTGTTTTGTTCTTCTCCGTCCTGAAATAACTCTGTCTCCATCCTCAATATAATCTCAAGGGTCTGTACAGAGACAGTTTAATCAAATTATGTAGACAGATTTGTTAAAAGGTTTCTACCTAAGCAGGCCCAAAAGAATGCATTGAGTCATCGACTTTGTTGAATTTGCTCCTACTGAATTCGGTGACAGCAGACATTATGTTGTTTATGTCATAAACTGAGGGATGACCCATGATATTTGACAAGTCTTCATATCTGTTCTTAAAAAGCACTATATGGTGACGAACCGCATGCTTTATTAATAAGTCCACTGAAGAATGTTCAGTGAATGTCATTTTATACCTCTCTCTAATTGAAACAAAGCTCCCCAACTGAAAAACAGTTTGCATGAATTAAAGTATGAATTAAAACTCTTTTATGAGGTCGTAATTGTGCAACTTTTCCCACTTTTTGACATTTCAAAGGATTTTATGAAGTTTTAATTAAGGGTAAAACATTAAATTACAACCTATTTGTGACAAATTTCACAAAGAACCTTTCAGCTAGTCTTATTAACATGGGTAAATGAGTGAGATATGTGATGCAGCAACCAGGTAGAGAAAAATAGCTTGAGGTGGTAACCAGCATAAACTGCCTTCCCGTTTCCAGCTAATGTTTGAACAGAAACTATTGGGCAATTGGACCTAAACTTTTTTTGTAGATGTCTTATAATCCTGTTTAATGGACAACCTACAGCCAATCAGAATCCAGTATTCATCAAGACCATGTTATATCTAATGATGACTTTGATTACCAACTTCCAACTTTAACATAAGGTGGTTAAACTGAGGTGGCTTTTCTAGAAGGCCAACGAGTACAGCCTCAAGATACGTAATTTCCTGAAAACTAGCCATCACAGCCAGGGTCGCTTTGTCTGTGGGGCAGCGCCTTCAAAGTGACAAAAGTTGAGATGAGCGAGCAGAAACAGGTCCACATGCGAGGAGAAGGGAGGCTGCACACATCGAAATCAAACCACACGGGCACAGAGAAGGAACAAAAACTCATGTGTGATATATTGGGGCCGTGTGTTACTCTCTTTGCGCATGCAACATGTGTGAGGAGTAGTTTATGAGCTTCTATATGAAGTATTGCTAGTCTTAGGAGTATTTAAATTATTGTGTGCCTCAAGTTTTGGCAGAATCCTGTCTGTCGTCAACCCAATCCATTGAAGCTTAAACTTGTTTTGCAAGCCTTTAGAGAAATCTTAATTATAAGCTGAGCCTTAGTTGTGCTTATCTATGTCTATTATTTTTTATTATTTGAAAAGAGGATCAAACTGCAGCGCCCCTCTCTAGTAAAATGCTACTTTTGTATTTTAACATATAAACTTTGCTTTATATGACATTTTTTTTTTTTTAAGTAAGACATTTATGTTTAAGTAAAGGCAGAAGAAATTTGTAAGTGGGATTTTATATCTTACTTAATAAAGCAGCAGATTTTTTCTGAATAAGCACGGAAAAGATTTAGTGCCTCGGTAAATGGTGGTCATGTGAAGCAGATTGAAATGTTATTTTTCCCTGAGGATGGGTTTAGACATCTCAATAAAAACACATAACCAGTTTGTTAATGTTATTTATTTATTTATTTATTTATTTATTTATTTATTTATTTATTTATTTATTTATTT